CGCAACACAGCTGTATACAAATTGCTCAGTGCTTTTTGTAGAAGATGTGGGTGTCTCATCTTCCTTGATGAGAATTAACATTTACTGTGAAGAGACGATACAAAACGCAGCGAGGTCTTCTCTTTTACTGAATGTGAGTGAGCAGAACGAGAGCTGCGAGTGAGAAACCTCCTGAATCAGACATTTTTAAACATAAACACAAGTGAAACATTTTCTTTACTGAGAATGAGCAGCTGATGCACTTTTTTTTTAAAAGCAAACATATAACCTGATTAAAAAAATATACTGATAAAAAAGTTATAATTTAAAATTACTTTAGTCTAGAAAGTCAATTTAATTATTACATTATTTGCCATATTAATATATGTCAGCTATGTTAAGATAGGACAATAAAACTGTCAGCATCTATGTTTTTGGTAGTCTTTTATGTTTGTTTTATTCCATTTTGGTTGATTTTGATTATTTCCTGTTTTGGGATTCTTGTGTCTGGTTCTGTTACTTGTTGTTTTTGTCTTTGTATATTCTTCTGTGCCATCAGCTACACAACTCCCTCAATCAGTGCATTAAAGAAGGTTCATAAAAAGACTGAAAATAACTTTGTTTTCACCCTTAAATATGAGGTGAGGACTTCCATCATCAAGGGGAAACTCTGAGCCGCTGCTCTTCCTCATCAAAAGAAGTCAGTTTAGATGGTTCAGGAATCTGATGAGGATGCATTCTGAACATCTTTTTTTTGTATACCCCACTGGGAGGAAACCTCTGGGCAGGTTGAAATCTCTCTGTAGGGACTATATAGTCTCTCTGGCCTGAGAATATCTTGAGGTGTGGCAGGGGGAGCTGGAGAATGTCACTGGGGAGATGGATGCCTTGGTTTCCCTGCTAAACTTGCTATCTCCTAAGTCAACCATGGATGGTGGATGGTAATAAGTTTGCTTCAAAATGTGAAGTTTGAATGGATCAGAATCAAGAATCAATGGATCAAGAATGGTTCAGAAAGACAGCTTGTAGTTCAGTTGATAGAGCTGCTGCCTCTCAGTGAGAAGGTTACTGGTTCAAATCCTGGCCGGGGACTATTCTGAGTAGAATTTGCATGTTCTCTCTGTGCATGCATGGGTTTTCTCCGGGTCCTCTGGTTTCCTCCCACAGACCAAAAACATGCATGTTAGACTGATTGGTAACTCTAAATTGTCTCTAGGTGAGGGTGAGAGAGTGAATGGTTGTTTGTCTCGTTTGGCTCTATGGATCTTTGTGATGGACTGGAAACCTGTCCAGGGTGCCCCTCGCTTTTCACACAGTGATAGCTAGACATGGGCACCAGTGACCCCCATGACCCAAAAAGGAAGAAGCAGGTAAAGATAATGGATGGGTGGATCAGTAAAACTTCCTAAAAGGCCTATAGTCCATTGTTAATGGCCCAGGCTTCCCTTGCAAAAAAGATCTGTGATCTCAATGGGATTTGCCTGGTTAAATAAAGATTAATAAATAAAGGTTAATAAATAAACTCTCCGAAACTTCCACTGGTCAGTCAAAGTAATATTTTTTTTAACAAGTAAAAGTAGCAGTAATATTTGGGAATATTAGATTTTGCTTATTGCATTATTCCATCAAGGTGAAACATTTTAAAGTGAAATAATTTGAGCTACCCTAAAGTGTAGTTCTCAACCCAAGTTAAGTTTTGACCAATGAGACTGTTAGATGTTAGACTGTTCCCTGTTTGCAGCATTGTCATTGTCAATTAGTTGTTACAGACAGACATATACAAATGGGAAAAGTTGAGGAAGGAAGAATGTTATGAGTTCAGCGTAGAGCTGTTAAAGTCTCTGGGTGGTAAGAAAGAGCTTCCAAATGACTGGGCTACTACAGCAACAGTAATTAGAGAGACAGGTAGGAAGGTACTTGGTGTGTCATCTCGACAGAGAATGGATGATAAGGAAACCTGGTGGTGGAATAGTGAAGTGCAAGAAGTTATTCAAAGAAAGAGGTTTTGCAAGAAGAAATATGACAGTGAAAGGACTAAAGAAAGGAGACAAGAATATAAAATGTATCACATGGCAAAGAAGGAGGCAGTAAAGGCAAAACAGAAGATGCATGATGAGTTGTATAGGAGGCTGGACATTAAAGAGGGAGAGAAGGACTTGCATTGATAAACAGGATAGAGTGATTGGGTTGGAAAGGATGTGCAGCAGGTTAGACTTGTTAAAGCTAGAAATGTTAATGTTCTAACAAGTGAGGAGAGTGTGATGGGAAGATGGAAGGAGTACTTTGAGGAGCTAATGAATGAAGAGAATGAAAGGCAAAGAGTAGACATCATGTAAAATGTGGAACAGGAAGTAAGAAAGATTAGTGAGGGTGAAGTCTGGAAAGCTCTGAAAAGAATGAAGAAGGGAAAGGCAGTAGGACCTGATGACATGCAGTGGAGGTTTGGAAATGTCTTGGAGAGATGGCAGTGAGGTTTTTGACTCAAATATTCAATGGCATGTTTGAGGGTGAGAAAATGCCTGAAGAATGAAAGAGAAGTGGGATAGTGCCCATTTTTAAGAACAAGGGTGATGTACAGTGTTGTAGCAACTAAAGGGGAATTGAGTTGATGAGTCACACAATGAAGATCTGGGAGAGAGTTGTGGAAGCAAGACTTAGACGAGAGGTGACTATTTGTGAGCAGCATTATGGTTTCATGCCAAGAAAGAGCACCACAGATATCTTTGCTTTGAGGATGCTGATGGAGAAGTACAGAGAGGGTCATAAAGAACTCCATTGTGTCTTTGTGGATTTACAAAAAGCATATGACAGAGTGCCGAGGGAGGAGGTGTGGTATTGCATGAGGAAATCTGGAGTGGCAGAGAAGTATGTTGGACTGGTACAGGGCATGTATGAAGACAGCAGAACAGTGGTGAGATGTGCTGTAAGAGTGACAGATAGCTTCAAGGTGGAGGTGGGAGTGCATCAAGGATCAGATCTGAGCCCCTTCTAGTTTGCTCTGGTGATGGACTGACTAACAAATGAGGTCAGGCAGAAATCCCCGTGGCCTCTGATGTTTGCAGATGACACTGTGATCTGTGGTGAGAACAGGGAACAGTTGGAAGAGAACTTGGAAAGGTGGAGGTATGCACTTGACAGAAGAGGAATGAAAGTCAGCCGTAGTAAGACAGAGTACGTGTGTGAATGAGAGGGAGGCCAGTGGAACAGTGAGGCTACAAAGATTAGACAAGATTAGGAATGAGATCATCAGAGGAACAGCACAGGTTGAACAACTGGGAGATAAAGTTAGAGAGACTAGACTGAGATGGTTTGGACATGTCCAGAGGAGGGACAGTGGGTATATTGGTAGAAGGATGTTAAAAATGCAGCTATCAGGAAAAAGACAAAAAGGAGATATATGGATACAGTTAGAGGACATGGAGGAGTGAGGACAAAGGATGCAGAGGACAGAGTGAGCTGGAGGAGGATGACTCGCTGTGGAGAACCCTGAAGAGGGAACAGATAAAGGAAGAAGAAGGAATAGAAAGTTCTTTCTCATACTTCTGATTTGGTGAAATGGGCATATGGATGTGTAGTGCTAGAACAGATAAAATGCATTAAGATATATTTGATTTGTGTGTAATTTTATTAAACAATTTCATCATTGTTGCCAAACGACCTACAATCAGAATTGCAAACCAGCTATGCATGTTATAAAACAGTGGACATTCAAGCCCTTCTTGTTGCAAAACTTGGCTGTGTTTGCCCGATCCCTGGCCAGCTGAATTTATGGACTCTGCATTTTGAACAGGTTGTAAGTGGGAGGATCTCAGAAGTAGGGCAACAGATAAGAGATGCAGTGATGCTGTTGGTTATAGTTTATGGTATACGAATTTGACTGCACTCAAATCCTTTTTATGTTAGTTCTCAAGGACAATTAAAAAAAATAATAAATCTGTACATTAGCTAATAGAACATAACACAGGAATAAAAAAACCATCAGAGCTTCCTGGTAGACAGTACAGTGTGGATTAAAGCCTGTAGTTAACTTGTTAATTCACACAATTGTTAAGGTGAGGATTATCTTGCAATATGGTCCAAACTGTTTTTAGAATAATATTTTTCACTTTGACTCAAACCAACTTAATGGTCTTGGGGTTAGTCAGCAAACTTTAGAGCTTGTGTACAAGACAATTGCTGAGAGCGTTTTAACTTTTCACCTCCCTGCCTGGTATGGTCATCTGAGCTGTAGACTCAAAAACAAACTTTTATGGATTGTTTCAATGGCAGGTAAAATAGTGGGGAAACCACAAAAAGCTCTGTCTCAACTGTTTGCAGAAAGAACAAGGAAGACGGCAAGTAATATTTTATCAGATAGTACCCATCCTCTTTTTCATCAGTTTGAACCTCTGAGCTCAGGAAGGCATTAAAGGGTCCCTCTGGCAACGAAGAATATATAAGAAGTCATTTATTCTGAGTGCAATAACCATTCTTAAACAAACCAAATGATAAAATGTACCTATGGCATGCAAAATGTTTTATTCTATGCACAAATTGTTGATATTTTTGATTGTATGAATGTGTTTTATTTTATGGTTGGAGAGCCGAAGGAAAATTTCCACCTTTGTGGACAATAAAGTTTTATCTTATCTTATCTTAAAACAATTTTTAAACAAAGAATGAAGTTCTCAAATAGTATTACAAGAAGTAAAGTAATTCATTTTTGACCTGCTGTAATGAAAGCCTGTAGTTAACTTGTTAATTCACACAATGGTTTAGGTGGGGATTATCTTGCAATATGGTCCAAACCGTTTTTAGAAAAACATTTGTCACTTTGACTCAGACCAAACTGTCCTGAATTAGTTTGGAGCAGTGTGCAAAGCAGTTAGAGACATATGGGCAGAAATGTGGCTTTTACGTTCACTGTGATGATGTGTGATGATTCAGCTAATGTTCAGTGCCAGGAAATACAGTATGTCTATTTGTAGAGTGACTGAGGAAAAAAAAAAAAAAAAAAATGAGAAAAAGAGTGAGCAGCTTACTGCGCAGCTGTCTCTCAGGGCATCATACTTGCGTTGAATCTCATCTCTATGTGCCTAAAAAGAGTTAAACAAAAGGACAGATGTCAGCACTAAAATGATTTACTATCAGTGCTTCTATATTTGTTTCCTTCTCCTTACTCTGAGTACAGTGATCTCCTCCTCAGCCTCTGCAGTTGTCTCCTCCAGCTCAGTCTTGGCCTGCTGCAGCTGGTTCTCCAGAGTGTGGCGAGATGTCTGCAGGTTGCTAATCTGAGACTCCCGCTCTTGCAGTGACAGGGTCAGCTCTGTTACCTGACGCTTAATCTCCAGCTTCTGCTCCTCGTGCTCCAGCCCAATCTACAATGACAGATAGAAAGGATTATTTTGGATCAAGACCCCAAGAAGTCTAAGACATGCTGACTGGACACAACTTATCCCCTAAGAGTGACCCAGCATCACACCGGACAGTCCAACACATCTCCATCTTCTACCACATATTCTGGGTTGCAGAACATGTCCAGGAGAGAAACCCAGACATTCCTCTCCCCAGCAACAATTTGAAACTCATTCTGGGAGCCCCAGATGTGTTCCCAGGCCAGAGAAGATACACAATCCCTCCAGTAACTTCTAGGTCTCCCCTGGAGCCTCGTACCAGTGGGACGTGCCCGAAAAACCTTTAAAGGGAGGCGTCCAGGAGTTACCGTATTTTCTGCTGTAAATGTCGCTCCGCCCTATACGTTGTTCCGCCCTATACGTCGCTCCGCCCTATACGTCGCTCCGCCCTATACG